TTGCGTAGGCTGACATCCTTTCATCTCGGGCTGCAAATTCGCCCGTTGTCTGGTTGATTATGAGTTGGAAGTCACAGAAGACTATCACTTCATCTACTTCTACTGCAACCGCCAGCTTTAGTCCTGCAATCAATGCTTCATATTCTGCTTCATTGTTTGAGGCCTTGAACCCTAATCGAATGGACTGTTCCAATACTTCTCCATCTGGAGATACCAGTACTACTCCTGCCCCCGCTCCTTGCTGGTTTGAGCTCTCATCAACAAACAGTCGAAATGAGTCGCCGATGTAAATGCTGCAGGGTTTAAGTTTTTCCTTTTTTTTTTTTGGTTCTATTGCATTTCGGCTGAGCTTCTCCTTGCTTGCTTGGACATCGTTCACCTTGGCTCGACGGAGTCTGATGTACAATGGATTCTGGTGTGAACTCAGCTACGAAGTTGGCCAAAACTTAGCCTTTGATTGCTGTTCTGGGTCTGTACTCCAAGTCATACTATCCCAAGGCCACTGCCCGTCTGGCTATTCTTCCTGTCAAGTCTCCTTATTGTACCAAAGACTTCAAGGGGTGTTCTGTTAGCATCACAATTTTATGGACTTGGAAGTAATTGTTCAGTTTCTTTGAAGCCATTACTAAAGCCAGTGCCAATTTTTCTAAGGGTAGATACCTTGTTTCTGCATCAGCTAGAGTTTTGCTTACATAGTAAACAGCCCTTTACTCTCCTTTTTTTTTTCTCGGATTACCACTACGCTTACTGCGTGTTTTGAGACTACTAAGTACAAAAACAACTCCTCCCCAGGCTCTGGATTTGAAAGAACTGGAGCTGTGGTCAAATACTTCTTCAGGTCAGCCAGGGCGACCTCGCATTCTTCTGTCCATAAAAAATCTGTGGCTTTCTTCACTAAGTTGAAGAAAGGTTTGCACTTGTCTAAGCTTTTGCTTATAAACCTATTCAGGGCCGCGGCCCTTCCAGTCAACATTTGTACCTATTTTGCCGACGTCGAGCTCTTCAATTCTAAGATGGCCTTAATCTGATCTGGGCTGGCCTCAATGCCCCTTCTAGTCACCAGGTATCCTAAAAACTTACAAGATCCTACTCCAAATGCACACTTCGCTGCATTGAGTTGGAGTCGATATGTTTTAAGGATGTCAAAGACTACTTTCAGGTCAGCCAGATGACCTTTAGGTTCCTGGGTCTTCACGACCATGTCATCGATGTAAACTTCCACCGTTCTTCCAATCAAGTGTTTGAACATCTTGGTTACTAGTCTTTGGTAAGTTGCTCCTGCGTTTTTCAACCCAAAGGCATCACTCTGTAGTAGTACAGACCTTTTGGGGTGATAAATACAGTCTTCTCCTCATCTGGGGATACATGGCTATCTGATGATATCCCCTGTAGGCATCTAGGAAGCTCATCCTTCCATGTTCCGAAGTGGCGTCTACCAGCTGGTCAATTTTGGGTAGAGGAAAACTGTCTTTGGGACAGGCTTTGTTCAAGTTGGTAAAGTCCACGCAGACCCTCCATTTACCATTCTTCTTCTTCACTACTACTGTGTTTGATAGCCATGTCGGGTAATCTATCTCTCGAATGGCCCTGGCCTCGAGAAGTCTGTCTACTTCCTCCTCTACTACTTCGACGTATATCAACGTCGGTCTTTTTGCTCGTTGTATTACCGATTTTGTCGACCTATCAACATTCAGTTTATGGAAAGTGACCTCGGGGTCAATGCCAGGTATGTCGTAAGGTGTCCAAGCAAACACCTCAATATTTGCTCTCAAGAAATCTTCTATCTCTCTTTCTTCTTCTTCGGCTAGGCCCGAGCCGAGAAGAAAAAAACGTTCTTTATTCCCCTCTTGGACGAGGATTTTCTTCAGTGTTTCTTCACTTTTTTCGACTGGCTCCTTGCCGACATCCTCTAGGACCTCCACGTCCTCGTCTTTAATCTCTGCCTTCGCTGGTTTTCGAATGCTACAGGTGGATTTCATTGCTGTTATGGAGCAATTCTTTGCTTGCAGCTGATCTCCTTTGACCTCCTCAATCCCATACTCCGTTGGGAACCACAATAGTTGATGTAAAGTTGAGGGAACAGCCCTCATTGCATGCAACCATGGCCTTCCCAAAATGATGTTATAAGGGGAGGATGTGTCAATTACGGTGAGCTCTGTTGTTATCTTCCTGGTGCCTGCTTGCTCCTCCAAGCTGGTTGTTCCCAGTGGCCATGTCGACACTCCATTGAACCCAACCGTTGGGCTATTGGACTGCTCCATGTCGTCTGGGTGAAGGCCAAGCTCCTTGTAACATCAGACGTACATGATATCACAAGAGCTGCCTTGGTCAATCAGGATGCGCTTTACTTGGCATTCCCCAACCTGGAGGGATACTACCAAGGCATCGTTATGCGGATACGGCACCATCTCAAGGTCGGCTTCAAAAAAGGACACTACTGGTCCTTGGTACTCCTCTACCCGACGTCTCTTCTCCCTGACTTGGTCGACATGCTGCAGATGTTTTACCTTCTGGGTTTCTCCTCGAATCTCGTTTTCGTTGACCTTCGAGTGAATTACATTAATTACCCAAGGTCCTCCTACTTGTGGTTGCTGTGCTGGGGGAGGTGGTGCTGCTGTCGCCTGAGGCAATCTTGTCTGTTCTTCCCTTGTTTTGGCCTCATCGACAAGGTCTCTCAGATGGCCTTGCCTCACCAGGTCTTCCAAGTGTGTTTTCAGGGCTCTGCAGCCTTGAGTCATATGCCCGTTTTCATTGTGGTAAGCACAATGCCTGCCAAGGTTCCTTCCCATGAATTCTCCTGGTGCCTTTGCCGGTGTTCAGAAATAGGGTTGATTCCGAATTTGATCCAGGACTTTATGAATTGGGATTCGGAACACAGTTGTCACTCCCTATGCTGCCCTCAGTTCTATCTCCTGCTTGCTGGATCTGTTGTTACCTCGGCCGCGCTTCGGTGAGCCGTTTCCTTTTTCTTGCTTTGCCTCCTTGGTTTCCGATGTATCTTCTTCGGCTCTAGCGTACTTCTCGATCCTCGCCATGAGCTCTTCCATGCTTTTTGGCAATGTTTTTGCCAAAGATTTTCGTAGTGAACAGTTGTCTTTTAGGCCGTTCTTGAAAGATACGACCACCACCTCTTGATTACACTCTGGTATTCGGTTAAACACCTCGTAGTACCTTTTTTGCATAGGCCCTAAGGCCTTCATCCTTACTGATCTTCAGAGCCATTAGTGCGTCCACCCTTAATGGCTACAGTTTGTTTGTCATGAACCTGGCCACAAACATCTCGGTCAGGCCTTCCCAAGTCTTCACGCTTCCTTTTGGTAATTTATGGAACCAATCTGATGCAATCTCCCTGAAGGATGAGGGGAACACTTTGCAGAGCAACGACTCGTTCCCACTATACAACGCCATTGAGTTCAAGTATAATCCAACGTGGAAGTTGGGGTCTGACTTACCATCGTATATTTGGAACCTTGGCATACTGAATCTTTTTGAAGCCTCAAATTTGTCTAGCTCTACCGAGAATGGTGTTTTCGGCTTTTCAGGGGAAGTTACCTCGGCATCGGCATTCTGCTGCTTCCTCTTGAGGTAATCTCTCAAGTCTTCTTTGCTCCGTCCAGGAGCTCAGCTATCTCCTGACTTCAGTCTTTTCGGCATACTACTCTCAACTTCATGGTGGATCATTTTCAATTTTTCTCCGTGAGTTGTGTCGCAGCAGAGCGCCTTCCCCTGAACATGCCGATGTTCTTTAGGGTCTGCCTCCTTGGCGCAATGCGTCCTCCGCGATTCTTCTCTCCTCGACTCTCCTCGTCCGACCTCCCTTGAAGGCCGGTGAGAGTGTCTTTCGCTCCTGGCGTATTGGGGGATTTTTGGGATTGGTTTCTGCCCTCCCTTCTGTGCATTGGCTGCTGGAATCAGCGTGCCCTGCAGCGGGAATGGTGGCTGTATGACATTGTTTTGCATCATAAAATTAACGACAGACTGTAGGTCTGTCAATTTGTTCGCCATGTTTTTTACTTATTCGTCCTTTCGAGGGCATCTATGCTTCCACACTTGGAGGTCGTCTTCGTTACAATACCTGCTTTGTTCTGGTTTGCTTGGTACATCGCCCTCCTGGCCGACGTCTTTCTTGCTGTGATTTTGGTCACGAGTTTCTATGTTGCGGTTGTCTCCTTCGACGTCAAGGTCGATAGGTCTGCCACTCCCAGCAGGAGTGTCATCCCCAATCTTTTCCTTATGTCCGTCACTGTCCATATATTCTTCTTTCTTTCCCACAGACGGCACCAATTGTGTGAGTGATCTTCTGATCACACTGTCCAACTCAGTATTCAGCTGAAGAGAACTGGCAGAATAGATGACACATAGCTGACCTGTAACAGAAAGAGAAGATTCCGGCGGTGGTTCGTCCACCCGGGAGCACTCTGACGATCAAGTCAGTATATCTCTCAAAGATAATCAATAGTGCTAAACTCACTATTCAAAATATAAATTGCGTATCTTAGACCCATGGGGGTGCCTCTCTTTTATAGCAAACTCAATCCTAGTCCCAATAGAAGCCTAGCTTCAGTGGACTCTTACTCAGTGCTTATCCTGGACTCTCCAAGAGATAAAGATAAACTTTCTAAGAGCTTTATCCTTATCCAAGTTAAAGTCCTTTGTCATTCTAGGACTTTTGTCCCTTATCCGCTTATCTCGGATTCTGATATCTTCGGAGATAAGCTCGGCCTTGCCGAGATAACCTCGGCGTCATAACCTGAACACGTGGCACCTCGACTGACACGTCGGCGTCACCTTGGCCACGTGTTGGGACTCAGAAATATATCCCCACAGGTTGTTTTAATTGAGAAGTAGATTTTTCCAAGAAAATGAGAAGGAAAATTGAAGGGTTTAAAGATATTTATAGGATTTAACGAAATTCATGTTATTTCCATGAATTACAGCCTTTGATTTTTTTGCTGTTTTCTCAAAAAATATTGCCAGCAACCATGATAGGAAAACGAAAGAGAGAGAGAGAGAGAGAGAGAGAGAGCAGAAAGGGAAAAAGAAAGAGGAAAGAGAGAAGATAGCCATTGGTTCATCCAATTAATTAGATCCCCTCTTCATGTTATATTAGCTTGTTTGTTGATGTACATAAACTCAATATTGTGACCTCTATAATTTTGGTGTGTAGTTTCATATTCCTCGTGATAATGTTCTGAAATTAAGTTGACAATTTTAATAGTGTCAAGCTTATTGTTAAGGGATCTCTCAAAAGAATGATTTATAGTTTCATATCAGTATGACAATATGTGATATCTCGTGAAAAGTTCGAAATGATTTTTGTTTTTTGTTTTTAATCAAATGCATCGGTTAACAATGGATTCGACAAAATGATCTCCCTTCAAGCATCAATGCTTTTTTATCAGCATTTTTTTACAGTATTCCATTTTTGAATTTAGTTGTGCACAGGTCTCGATCAAAATGTACTCCAAGATGCTGGATTTGCAAGTCTCCATTGTAAGATTCTTGGTTTCTCTCTGGTTTCTTTTCATTCTTTTTATTTAAATGATTATGAGGTAATTCAAGGCATCTTACTTGTAACTTCCCTTCGTTTAAATAATATAAAAAAAAAATACTTGCAACTTCCCTTGTAGAATTGAGTGGCAGAAAGGAGAAAATGAAGGGGAAAGAGAGAGGAGAGCCATTGTGTACAGAGATTTTTTAATATAATATTGTAGATGTGTTTTGATATCCATTATAGTAATTTTGTTTTAAGATACAATTGTCGTTAAAATAATGCTTTATTAGATGTGTTAACAGAAGTAAGTAGATGTGTAGAAATAGACTTTATCCTTGTGGATAGAGGTATCCGTGGTTCAGTTGCGGCTGGAAAACCTCCAATCCGCCATCCGTCCACCGGATTGGCGGATTGGAAAAAATTAATCTGCATTCGTCCGCCGGATTGATAGATGTGGATTGAGCGAATTGGGGAATGGATTCGAATCGGTTTGGCAATTTAAACTTTTACAATTTTTGAACGTAATACAACAACTTATCAACATGGTTTTTTGATAACAATCCAACTCAACATAACTAAAAGATTATCAAGTAAATTATCAAATACCAATAATAAATATATGGTTAATGCCTCAGACCCCCACTCACCCCCAGTGGGGTGTGATTGGTCTTTTTATTTTTTTTATTTTTTTTATCTAATTACCAACCCCCACGTGTGTATGGGGATGGTAGGGGTGCTTGGAGACTGGGGGTCTTAAGCACAACTCTAAATACATATAAGAAAATTATGCATTATCAAAACAATTTCATTGCCTTTTTTATTCAAAAACTATTTAATTTGATTTTTTAAAAAAAGAACAAAATTATAAGCCTTATATTTTCCACACAAAAATACCAAATATTAACACTTGTCATTTGATAAAAGAATTTCCAAATTGAAAATACAACAGAATATTTAAACTATTTTTTAATTGAAAACACAAACAGAATATCTATGAATTGAAAACACAAAATCTTACAAATTATTAAGGGTGCTTGCGGTTCGATTACGGCCAAAGAAATCTCAAATCCGCCATCCATCCAAAACTATACGAATTGGAAAAAATTAATCCGCAACCGTTCGCTCGTCATCACGCATCCGTCCAAAATGCAACGAATCGGTTTGGATCAGTCAGTTTAGGCAGATCGAAATATCCACTGCCCACCCCTACTTGTGGATGCTAGCTAATACCTGTAAATGACCAAAATTCCCACAGTTTGAAATTACACATTTGCTCAAAATTTACTAAGACGTTTTGGTACTCCTTTTGCAATGTTTGAAAAAAACACACATTTTAAGACATTTTAAATCAAAATATCATAGTTTGAAATTATATATTTATTCAAAGTTACTAGGGAGTTTTTGTACTTATTTTGGAATGTTTGAAAAATCTCACATTTCGAACCATTCAAAATCAAAACCCCACAGTTTGAAATTACACATTTGCCCAAAACTTACTAATAAAAGATTTTTATTTTTTTACTCATTTTAAAACGTTTGCGAAATCCCACATTTGAAATTACACATTTGCTCAAAACTTACTAGTTGATTTTTGTATTCCTTTTGAAATGTTTGAAAAATCTCATATTTCAAACCATTCCAAATAAAAAAGATTCACATATCAAAATTCATCCCAAATTTGATTTTCATAAATTATGTATCTTATCTTTTCAGTACAAAAAGAAGAAAAAAAAAAAAGAAAAGAAAAAAAGAAGGAAACATAATGCAAATAACAATATAACCGTAAATCTAAATTTAAAAAAATATATATTAAATCCATCTTTTCAAAATTAATGAAACTAATTGGTTTATAAAAAAAAATCTTTAAAACTAAACAAATTACTATATCCCAATATAAAATTTATGGGTAAAATTTCCATAAATTAACATAATTAGATTATCATAATAGTTGTATGCCATTTTATTGACTCGCCTTGATGTTATCTAAATAAAAAATCTGGTTATTTATATATTATAAAAGGAAAAAAAGTGTTTCTAACTCACAAATTTTATGAGAGTTTCAAATTTTCAATCTAAATTTTGTAATTTTTTGATTTTCAAAAATTAAAAAAAAAATTATTGGCTAGCTCTTTTTCAAGCAAAAATAAATAAATACATAAAAATTAATAGCTCTTGATTTATGACTTTCAAATATATCAAATCTAAAAAAGTATATCAAATCTATAAAAAAAATATAAAATATTTTTAAAAATGATAATTATTTTTTATTTTTTATTTCTTAACCAAATTAATTTTTAATTTAAAAAAAAATTCTAAAAATTGAACCATACATAGCCTAAGAATCTTTTGATAATTTATTTCTTATGTTAGTAACTTATTTAATTATTTGTTAATTTTTACCATCTGAGACCTATTTGGTAACCATTTCGTTTTCAATTTTTAATTTATATTTACAAAAATTTTAAAAACTGTCATAAAAACTTATTTGATAATTTTTTTTGATTTATAAATGGTTGTCTCAGTTTATAAATTTGAGAAAAAAATGTAAATTCAAAAAATGAGTTTACGTTGGTTTTCAAACAAAAATTTAAAAATTTTGCTAACAAAATTTTTTTCAATTACTTTTTTTTCAAATATTTTTTTTTCCAATTAATTTTTTTTTTCAATGAATTTTTTTTCTAACTAATACTAACCGAGGGGGCAATTGGTATTGCTATTTTAAACCTTAAGGAGGGGATTGTAATTTCTAAAATGTGTGGGGTATCAATGTAATTTACCCAATGAGGGCAAAATTGGTATTTAAAAAAATTAAATTGATGAGGGGAGAATTTGTAATGAAACTTTAAACCTTAGAGGGAGAGATGTAATTTCCAAAAGGTGAGGGGAAAATTGTAATAAAAATAAACTTTAGTGGATGTTAGTGTAATTTACCCTTTTTTCTTTAATCTCAATTATCAATTAAACAAATTAAAACAAAAAAAATAAAGTTTTTTGGCTTAAATAGTTAAGAAGTAACTTTTGCTAAATCAAATAGAAACAAACATATTTTCAAATTAAAAGTGACAGTATCCTAAAAAAAAAAATTAAAAGTGACAGTTGGTGAAATCTTTTTTTTTATATATATAATAAAAAAAGAAAATTGAAGTTACATCTGATAATACTACAAACCTACACTTTCACCCACAATGACGTGATAAGGGAGTTGAGCCCTATGTCATTGAATACATAGCAAATCAAAAATTGACACATATGATATCATATTATTGTGGATATAATTGTAGGTGTTTTTTTGTAAGTCTCAAATGTTTTCTTATTATTCATCTAAACTTTTTTAGCACTGGCGAAACATGGTAGATCTTGTTTTTGTTTTTTTAATCTTAGTTGTCAATTAAACAAACTAAATAAAAAATGAAAAAAAAATGGCTCAAATTGCTAAAAAGTGAGTTTTTCTTAAACAAAAAGGAATAAATGTTATTTTTCTACCAAAAATGATGGTTTGTGAAATATCTTTTTTTATTTAAAAAAATGAGTGTTATAATTGATTATTTATTGGTCATTTATAATTATTTTCAGATTAAATGAGAATATTATTCTAAATTTTCTTCTTACTTTTTTTTTTTTATATATAGATACTTTTATTTTGTAGAAATTTAATTTTATTATATTTAAATATTTTATTGTAATTTTTAAATTAAAAATAATTTTTGAAAAATCATATTTAAATTATTTTATGCCATTATAAAATATAATTTTTTTAATATGTTTATATCAATTATTCGATAATCCCTTTCTAAAAGATGTTAGATAATGTCTCAATGGGACCACATAATTAAATGTGGTGTTATCATTTATAAGAACCTCAATTTAAGTGATTCAATTTAGTTAATAGGCTTAAGGGTATATGTTGTTATGGACCTAATGTGTAGATACCAGTTGTATAATTTCTATTTCTATGAGGGGCAGAAATAGAAATTAAAACATATTGGTTAAAGTTGGTTTTCATTACCTTTCAGTTTTAAACCAATAATGGTTAATTTATTGGTTTTCATTACCTTTCAGTTTTAAAACCAATTACAACCTTTAAAAGGTTATGGTCCTTTCCTTCCAAGGTGAAAGAAAGATAAGAACACTGTTTTGTTTTTCTAAATCCTCTCAAGAGAAACATAAGGCACCAAAGGGAAAGGATTAGAAGGCAATAACATAGTCAATATCAAAA